ACCAGCAGGGTCACCCATGGTGGACAGGTTTCAGTGGAGCTTCCAGACTAAGACAGACTAGGAAGAAGGACATGGACACCCACTTCTGAAAAAATTGGCCATGAAAACCCTATGAATAGTAGGGGAGCATTGTCTGATACAGCACTGGAGGGTGAGAGGATGGCACAAAAAGATGGGGCAGGGTTCCGCTCTGCTGTACACAGGGTGGCTAGGGTCGGAATTGACTTCCAACAACAAAAACCTAGTTCCCTATCCCCTTGGTGCTTGGAAGCATCCCCACTTTTGTACTAAGGACCATCGCGTTTGCCAGAGTAATGATCAGGAGTACAACCCCAGTCAAGGGCTGCCTGTGCCCATTGAATTTCTCTTGCACAATCATTTGTGTGATTCTGCAGATGACTCCAGAATCCAAACGCAGCTCTGTGTCTCTGCAGTTGGTATTTCCTGCTGGGACAGATCTCTGTGTGACAGCTTACCTTCTGGTCTTCCTGCCTTATTTCTCATTCCTTAACATGCCTTTAGTTCCCAGTGCTCCCAAGAACTCTTTTATCTGCCCAACAGAAGAGCACATTTCTGGCTTTCTGGCTGCAGAGTCCACACTGTCACTCCTTGTTCTAGAGTAGGGACACATGGACCAGTGAGACCTGAGACGATTTCAGATGCTCCAGGAGCAACACAGGGGCCGCTGCCCAGCTGAGGCCAACACACTCGCTGTCCAGTCCCAGGAGGACAGCCTGGCCCCTCTGCGGAGGGGACACGCACCCAGCACTGCCTTCCCTCCAAATCCACTTCCAGGTCACCCCACTGTGATCCCTCCTCAACACCCCCCAATCTCAGCTTTCCCCTCTGCATCCCCCAGCCTTCCTCCCCCGGACTCTTTGGAGCCCAGCCTCACTCTGCCCAACTCCTCAGCACCCCGTCCCACGTGTCCTCTCCCACATGCCCTCCTCAGGCCCTGCCCTTAGCTCAGCACTCCGTCCTGCCCATCCCTCACCTCACCCGAACCCCCACACTGACAGCACCTCGGGGTCAGTCCCCCACCCCCTCGGCTTCCCTTCTCACAACACCCCAAGCCCAGCCCTCCATCCCAGGCTGCAGCCTCCTTTTCCTCCTTCTGTCCCTGAGATTCCCAGGGTCCTGCGGGCTCTCTTCTTTCTCCTTCCCTCTGCTCAGCCCCTTGGGACCTCACTCCCGGCTCCGACCCCCCACCCCTGCCTCCACTGCCATCGCGAGGCTCTGCCTTCCGCCTCTGCATGCAGCGCTCCCTCTGGGCCGTGGTTTGTCCTGCTGGTCACAACTTTCCTTTTGCTCTCCCTTATCTGCTAGTTTCTGTTTAAAATGTGTGTATTCAGAGAATAAAAGTGAGTCAACTTGAAACATGAAGTCAATAACAGTGCAGATAGTCCAGGGATGCAGCAGAAATGGTGGTGGCCATCTCTGGGTGACTGAAGTTTGAGGAAATGCCGACTTAGAGGAAAGGGTATAACCTCAGATGAAAAACAGCTACCGTACTCACGCGACGACAACAGCCGTGTGTCGAGTAATTTCTGTTGGTGTGGCCCCGCTCTGACTGCTAATCAGGGAACCACAGCACGAAACTACTGACACAACCTGTTTCCGTCCCCCGCAGCCTCGTGGCACACTGGGGCAGGTCTCAGTCTCCCTCTGTGCCTGGACCCAGGTACCATTAAGGAGCTTGTTGCCGCCTGTATCTCCGACACTCACTCGTTTTGGAAGCTGACGTATCCCCACCATCTCCACGGCTGTCAAAAGCCTGCTCCTGGCCAGTGTGTTGGGAAAGTTGGGGACATCAGAAGGAATCTGTGGAGTCTTGACGTTGAGAATTCTCTTCCTTCCCTTTGCTAAAGTTAGTGAGAAGTGGGGAGGAGGCAGGGATGGAGGGTGGTGTGGGGGTGGCGATACCCATTGACTCACTTATTCATTCAACAAATATTGTTCAGCCCTGACTGCCTTTCCAGCACTGCTCTAAGCACAGGGGATACAATGGTGAACACACTGACAAGGTCCTGAACCTGCTGAAGTTGACAATCCCACAGAGAAGGCAGTCAATGGACAAACAACTAACATAATATCATGTAAGGTAACAAGATAGAGAGTGAGGCGGTGGTTAGGGAAGGCCTTCTGAGGAGGAGACATTTGAGCATAAGTGAAGGAAACAAGCCACGTGGAGATCTGGAGCGAAGAGTGCCCCAGGGACAGAAATGGCAAGTGCAAAGGCCCTGAGGCAGGAACATGCTTGGTTTGTTCAAGACACAGCAGGGAGGTTGGTGTGGCTGGAGTAGAGAGACTGAGAGGGAGAGTGCAGGGAGAGGAGTTCAGATAGGGAGATGGGGCCTGATCATGAGGGGTCTGTGGGCTCTGCTGAGGACTTGGGCTTTGACTGAGGGAAGAAGCTACGAGAGGGTTTTAAGCAGACAAGTGCTGTGGCTGACTTGCATTGTAAAAGGATCACTCTGGCCACCATATGGAGAGTAGACAGGGGAGCCGTTAGGAGAGCCTGGTGAGGGACGAAGCAGAGGGATGGAGTGTCTGCCCTGGGTGAGAGGCATGGATGCGCTGACAGGTGGGCTGGTTGTGTCTTGTCACCAACTGCAAAAAATGGGGGATGCTTCTGTGGAAATGTACCTCAGCACCAGCACTTTTGGAGGCAGTAGAGTTAGGAAGAGGTAGAACCGTCTCTCCAGCTATTTGGACACCTCCAGCCAGGGGATAGTGTCTCCATATCACCTCAGGCCACACTGGGCGTGTGCTGTTCCCTCCACCTGGAACGCGCTTCTCCTCCTCCTCCGTCTGCTTGACGTTACTCATCCTTCAGCACTCAGTTGAAATATGTCTCCCTCAGGCAAACCTTCCCTGACCACCCCCCTCCCCACAATAGGTCAGGTCCTCGGGGTGTTTGCTCTCCTGTTCTCCGTGCTTCTCTTCCCAGGTACTTATCACAGGTGTCATTCGTTAATCAGTACGATTAGGTCTTGGTGTCTGTTTCCTCCACCGGACTGAGACTCCCCGCGGGCGGGGATGGCTCTGCCTTATTCGTTCCTCCATCCTCGGTCCCTAGCATGTGCCTGACACAGGTGGGCGCTCAATACATTCCTGTTGAATGAATGACTCAATAAGCCAAGGGACAGTAGAGCAGCTACCAGAGAGGCAGCAGGGAAGGGAAGTGATTCTGAAAGGAGAGACGCAAATAGGAACAGAGCCTGTGTCAACTCAGAAACCGAAGGACTCACAGGCACCTAGTGTGGAAATCATCAGGACTCTGTCCTCGACCTGTGGACGCACCCAGCCTTGCGGACATGCCCACACATTTGCACACACACACGTATACACACACACACACGTATACACACACGAGGCAGTAAGAGCGGTACCTCCCAATATGAAGCATAATGGTGGTTGATAACATAAAATCTCTACTCAGAACACATACTGAAGTTGGAGCAGGAACAGGGACTAATATTTTGATGGCCAGAATTTGTTCTTGAGGCGAATGATTGAATCAACTTAAGCGATTTGCAACTCAACTCAACTGAAACCAGGATCAATGTTGATAGAAATCATGACATGATCAATTTGGTTTCGATGCCTCTAGCTCCCATCCTCCAAGTCCTCTCCCATACCCATTCCTCCAATCTCTAGCATTCTTATGCCCTCTCTACCCTCCCAAGAATCAAAAGAAGACCTTTAGGGAAGGAGCAGGCAAAAATTCTGTCTACAGTGTAAATGGCTGATAAGACACAGTATTACTCGTGCCAGGAGTATTTACACTTTGGCTGTAATAAATACCTTAAGCTACAGGAACACAGTTTGGGGTTCTTATGCCCTTGTGATTGTATTCTACAGACAGCCACGTCTCTCACACAGGTTCTCTTCCATTCACTGCACTCGGAAGGCACTTGACAGGGTTGCTGCAGCAGAAGAGCATTTTGTGAAAGGGACAGTTTTTTTACATTCCTCTTTTTCAAAAAATTATTTTATTGAGGTCATACTGGCTTATAACATCGTACAAATTTCAGGCATACATTATTATAGATCAGTTTCTGCATAGATTGCATGGTGTTCACCACCAATAGTCTAGTTTTTATCCATCACCGTACATATGTGCCCCTTTGCCCCTTCACCCTCCCCCACCCCGTTCCCCTCTGATAACCACTAATTTGTTCTGATCTATGTGTTGTTTATCTTCCACATATGAGTGAAATCACATGGTGTTTTTCTTTCTCTGTCTGACTTATTTCACTTAGCATAATATCCTCAAGGTCCATCCATGTTGTCACAAACGGCACAATTTCGTCTTTTTTATGACTGAGTAGTATTCCATTGTATATGTATACCACATCTTCTTTATCCATTCATCTGTTGTTGGGCACTTGAGTTGCTTCCAGATCTTGGCTATTGTGAATAATGCTGCAATGAACACAGGGGTACATAAGTCTCTTTGAATTATTGATTTTATGTTCTTTCGATAAATGCCCAGTAGTGGGATAGCTGGATCATAGGGTATTTCTATTTTTAATTTTTGAGAACTCTCCATACTGTTTTCCATAGTGGCTGCACCAGTTTGCATTCCCACCAACAGTGTATGAGGGTTCTCTCAAAGGACATTTTTATATATTATTTTTAAAAACCATTAGGCTTCCAACCATTAAAAAATTATCAAGTAATGTACCTAACGTACATCTTTATTCCATCCCTGAACCTCATCCCATCCTCATCCCCACTCCTTCCTTCTCACCATTGATGACACGTGATATCAGAGCTGCCAGATCAAACTGGTCCTTGGGTCAAACATTCTGCTTCACGTCAAGTACATTTACTTCTTGCAAGTAGGAGGCCCTCCTGGCTCACTAAACTGTGACAACGGATGAGAACATCTGGCTCCCAATTCAGTGCCGCAAGCCCTGGACCACACTCTCTGCCGGCAGCTGTGTTTCTTGAGTACTGGGTGCTTGCTGTGTTGACCAATGAAAGGTTTTTACCTAAGGAGTCTACGAATGGGTTTCAGGAGTCTATGAACCCCTGAAATTATGTAATCCAAATTTGATGAGTACATATATACTTTGCAAAGGGAAGGGGGCTCCATAGTTTTCATCAGATCTTCAAAGCAATCCTATGACCACCAAATGTAAGAAATCAGTGGTTTACATGGGTAATCCAGATATTTCAGGTAAAAAACGCCTGCTTCGGAACATGCTGCCTAGTATCTGCCCTCACTAGATACGGGGTGTCAGGGGCAGAGCTGACTATTCTGTGATGTGTATTTTGTCACTATGGGCAACCAGTTTATGTAGCACATAATCGAAAGTGGATTTCCTGACACAAATGATGCACTTTGCAGGCAACCGTTGAGGACTAAACAGAGAAGTTACTGAATTAATTTGGGGCAGAGTGAAGCACGGGTTTGGTGAGACCATCCTGCCTTCTAGAAGGTGACTCTTTATTCTCTCTCCATTTGCAACAAGATTCCAAGAACTGGGTCTAAAAGGAAAGTTTAGCTTCTGACTTCCACGTTTCAGGTGACCTGGGGCTTGGGAGAAGACCCAGAAAGAGCCGTGGGAGGCGCGGGGAGTGGGAATTGCTTCTGCTTATCTGCCCAGATATTATGTCCTATTATGGTTGAGACTGAAATCGCATGTCAGCCACATGTTTCAGATTGAGGTGACTCCTCGCTGCCTTAAAGGTCAGGAAAGCCACTGTGCTGACACAGGCCTTTCTCCCCCTGGCAGTCTGCCCCACATCGACTCTTGAGTCATCACATCTGGATGACTGGGCTGACAAAAACAAGGTTTCACGGGGTGAGTCGAGCTGGGGGGAAGTGGGGTGGCAGGGCAGAGTGATGAAGCGGGAAGAACACTGCCCTCGGAGTCTGAGGCTCCGGGTTCGAGTCCCCGCTCTGTGAACTTGGGCATGCCGCGATGATCCCTTTGGGTCTCGGAGGAAATTAGATAAAGCAAGACAAGCTGCTTAACGTGGCACCAGGGAGCTAGCAGTGCTCGATGAAAGGGGCCGTGCAGGACCTGCACTGAGGCAGAAGTCTTGGCCCTAGACCTGGATGTGCTCAGCCCTGATCTTCACAGTGACGTGTCTTCAGAGGTTGTCTATGCAGACCAGGTTGGTCCCCAGACCTGTGGAGATTTGCATCCCTGGTCATTCATTTAGTCACCAAATATTTCTTCAGAGCTATGCTCTGGGATACAGTGAGGAAGCCTGATGAGGTGCCAGCTTACGCCGAGAAGTCAGTTCTCTGTGTCCAAGCTTCTTCTGCCAAAACACATAACAGTTGGCTGTGAGAGGTAGAACTCAACCTGTGCGGGTCTCTCAAGCTGGGGTGTGGGGCTGGAGCCTGGAGGGGGAGGGAGGGGAAGGTTTGTGTCCACAGTTCTCTGTCTTGTCACTAGGTGGCAGCACCAACTCAGGGCTGCGGTCCCCAGGATCCTGGCTGTAACTTGGGACCTCAGAAATTCCCCCAAGTGGACTCAGCCCTCATATACAGCTCCAGCTTCGGAGGCAAAAAAGGTGAGTTTGAGCCCCATCTCCACACTTTGCTGTGTGACCTTGGGCAAACCATGTACCTCTTTTTGAGTCTGTTCCTTTAACTGCAAAATGGGGAAGATGACAGTTCCTAAAGTAATAGAGTGAACAATGAGGCAAATGTTTGATAAATGGCAGCTGCTGTCGCCTCTGCCCCCAGCAAGATCAGGCAGCACAGTCCCCTTACGCTCTCATGCATCGCCCTTATTCTGCGCCTTTCCCCTCTTGCAAGAGTGCCCCTGGGCCGGCCCTGTGGCTTAGCGGTTAAGTGCGCGCGCTCTGCTACTGGCGGCCCAGGGTTGGATCCCGGGTGCGCACGACGCATTGCTTCTCTGGCCATGCTGAGGCCGCGTCCCACATACAGCAACTAGAAGGATGTGCAGCTATGACATACAACTGTCTACTGGGGCTTTGGGGGGAAAAAAATTAAAAAAAAAAAAAGAGTGCCCCTGATTCTTATTTAAAATGACACCAGAGATAAACATTTTGGGGTGGGGGTGTGAGAAGGCAGGGGGAAGGTCCACAGGGTGATTTTTCTAGAACAGACCCAACTTTTCCCCTTCCTTCCCTCCTTCTACCCCTTCTTTTCCTCTTCATTTTCTTTCTCCTATCTAGGGATTTTTATTTTTTATTTACGAATGTCTGTTAACCACCAGCTCTGTGCAGAGCCCTTGGCCAGGCAGGGACAGGTGGGGAGCGAAGGCTGCGGAGAGCAGAGTTACACCCACTGGAGACAGCCCCTCCCTCAGAGGCGCCCACATCCTATAGGCGCTGAGCTGATACCCACATGGGGCGCGCCCAGCGCAGTCCCGTTGTTGAAAGAGAAAAATATTTACATCCTGGCTGGTCAGTAGCCCCACCCTACTGCCCTCCATGCCGCAATGCAGGGCACGCCGTGACCCTGTTCCGGCTCCAGCGTCCGTTCTGACTGGCCGGCGCCAGACCTGAATTTCAAATATTGCCCCTGAGCAGGTTGGCTGGGCTTCACACAGCGTGAACCAAAGCGGGTGGAGAGTGCAGCCTGGAGGCCGAGTCGCAGACTCCCAGTGATGGTTTTCAAAGCAATAAAGGGTCTTATCCAGGTCAGGCACGCCAGAGGCTGGCGCAGGCTGGCTGAATGCTTGGTTTCTGATGGAGCATCCCAGAACCCTCTCAGAAACCAGCCTATTCCTTTTGGCCCCAGAGAATTAGGATCCAGTGCCCTCCCCCGCTTCCTGGAAAACCCAGGTGTGAATCATCATTCCTGAGTTTTGGGTTTCTTAACAGAAGCTTACTCTGGCTGGCTTAAGGAGGAAGTGAATTTGTTGGAAGGATATTGTGTGGCTCACAGAATCCAAAGGAAGGCTGGAGACAAGGCTCAGAATACGGCAGGAACCAGGACGGTTCTCCACCACAGGAATTCTCTGGTCAGGGCTTCACAGCTGGAATGGAGGGCTCCTGTTATCTTTTGGGTCTTTCCTTTGCTCTGCTCGAGTCAGATTCCCAGGAAAGAGTCTGATTGGCCCAGCCTGGGTCAAATGATTGCATCTTCACCAGCTAAGGCATGGCAACTGATCGACAGCCCTACACATGGAAAGAGGCAATTCTCGAAAAGGAAATTAGGGTGCTTTACCAAAACAGGGAGGAATGGATTCTGGGTGGCAAAAAATGACCTCTGTAATCACCTGCATCCCAGTTGTAGGTCAGAGTCCAGTGACATGCTGTCATCAGTCCTCAGGGGTTAGAACCAGACAGAGCTAGATCCCCATCCTATTAATACTATAAACTTCTTGGAGGCCACCAGGTCAACCCAGGCAGCACTGGTTCCTCAGGATTTGGGGAGCCTTGTTCCCCCTATCTCCTCAGGAACAATGGGACACAAACATCTGAGGGAGCTGTAGGCAAATTTACCCTGAAGTAGACAAGCCTTGAGAATATAAGAGATCCGTCCTTCCTTCCTTCCTTCCTTCCTTCCTTCCTTCCTTCCTTCCTTCCTTCCTTCCTTCATCAAACCAATAGTTATTAAGTGCTGGCTGTGCCGGGCACTATGATACAGAAGTAACAAAGACAGAGACAGTCTCTACCTTTGCTCACAGGGTAGTGAATGGCCTATTTAGAAAGTCATTTGACTGTCCATCATTAGTGACCACTGGTGGCTTTATCCATGGTATGTGTGAATGTCCTGTCTTTATCATCATCGTCTCTCCTTTCTGGGTCAGAAGATTGGTTTGTGGAGCACACGCGCACACTCGCATGTGTGTGTGTGTAGGGGGTGGGGGCATGGAGAGCTAGCTAGGCAGGCAGGCAGGCCAACTTCCATTGTACGTTATCATGGGAGCAGGACTTGGAGGGATAGAGCAGAGGCTGATGAGGGCGGGCAGACAGAGGTGAAGGTCCTTTTATGGAGCCCTGTTCTGGACTCCAGCTTGTTTCTACTTTGATCCTGGTCCTTGCCTCTGTCTGGTTGGTGACATCGAGATACAAAACTAAAAGCCAGATGACAGTGTGACTCAAGAGACACAGCTCACCACCCTAGCCTCCTCGGCCCCACCTGGGGCTCCTGTCCCCAATCTCTACCATCTCCATGGGAATGAGTACCTTCCCTTGATTCCTGCTCTTAAAAGATCTGATTAATTCTTACTGTTCATATGTTGGTCAAATGTTTGTTACTTGTATTCCATTGTCAGAAAAAGAATTGTCCTGGATTATACATTCCTGGAAGGCAGGCACTGTGCTTCCTTCTTTCATCCATCCATCCATCCATCCATCCTTGCATTCATTCAGTCAACAAATATTGAGTTCCATACTGTGTGGCAGGCTCTTTGCTACTGTGCATAGAAATGTACGTGAGAATACAAAGGTGAGCCAAACCTTTGCAAGGTTCTGCCATCACAGAACTTTATGGTCTAGGAATAGAGACAAATGTTAACCAAATAACCACACAGATACATGTGAAATTTCAGTCTGTTAATGACTATGAAGGAAGGGTATGTGTTGCTATGAAACCATGTGATAGTGGGGATCTGATCTGGTCTGGGAATTGGGCAAAACTTCCCTAAACTGATATGTGAAGAAAAGGTAGGAGTTAACCAGATGGAAGGGGAGTACGGGATAAAGAGCAGTCAGTTGAGGCTGAACGGTATGGACAAGATTCTGAAGGGGGAGGGAGTGTAGAGAATCAGGGAAAGGCACAGGGCCAGTGCAGGAAATGAGGGTGTGTGAGATGAACTGAGGGGCAGAGGATGTAAGGCCTCTGGGGTCCCATCAAGGACTTGGGTCTTCACCTCGATAGTCACATTGACTAACTTTTAAAGCCCAGTCATGCCACGTGCCAGCAGACAGTTGATAAGCATTTGAGGAGAATAATGCTGACTTCACCCAGAGAAGATGTGCTAATTGGGATGCGGGCGGGACCTGGTACTGATGTGACTCAGCCTGATTTCACTGCTCCAATGGCACAGCCGTGAAGAGCTGGTCTCCAGGAATGGGGACCCATGTCTGTGACTGCACGTTGCAAGATGGTTTGGAAAGTTTAGTTCAGTATTTTATTTTATTTTATTTTACTTTTTATTTTATTTTATTTGTGAGGAAGATCAGCCCTGAGCTAACATCTGCCAATCCTCCTCTTTTTGCTGAGGAAGACTGACCCTGGGCTAACATACGTGCCCATCTTCCTCCACTTTATATGGGACGCCGCCACAGCATGGCCTGACAAGTGCTGCTTTGGTGCACACCCGGATCCGAAACGGCGAACCCCGGGCAGCCGCAGTGGAGCGCCCACACTTAACTGCTTGCGCCACCGGGCCGGCCCCTAGTTCAGTATCTTAAAATGCCACAAGATAGGGAAATGAGATATGATGCTTTTCACTTTTCAGACCTGGCTGTTCTCTAGAGAAAACAAAAAGGGGAAATTTCAGGGATGCTTCTGGGCTTTCAAACTTTGGTTTTATACCCCATATTAGCTAGGCCTTAAAAATCTAAATATACGTATTTTTAAACAAAAGAAGAATGTAACTGATCTGGGTTTTGGCCAAGAGGGAGGTTTAATTCATCACCCTCTTCTTCCTTGTCTTCTATGTGCATTAAAAAGCAACATGGAAAACAAAGCAAATATTTACATACTGTGTACATTAACAAGAGTGATGTTTCCTAAACAGCTGTCATTTTTAGCATATATTTCTTTAAATCGATTCACTTTTTTATGAAAGTGAAGTTTATTTGTAAAGGAACCTGTATATCATTATAATAAATGGAAAACCACTAGACTTATTAGAATAAATAGATACCAACTAAAGTAAATAAGTTTTAACCAAGTATCGCCTAAAATCATCCTGCATTCCAGGCAGGCCCTGTGGTCATTGAGTTGGATTTTGAAAAATGGGTAGAATTTCAAAAAAATAAATGTGGCATAATGAAGTCATGCATCTCATGCCACTTAGATCAGAGGCACCAGAGAATCCTATTAAAAATGAAGGTTCCTGGGCCCCGTCTAAAGAACCACTGAAAAGATGACAGGGGCGTTCTAGGTGGAGGGAACAGCACAGGAGCAGAGGCCTAGCATAAGGAAAGTGCAAAATGTGCTCACGGACCTGAGTTTTCCAGCCTAGCCACCACAAAAGTTTGTGTCCACAAGCGGAAGGATGGAAGAGCGAGCCAAGGGAGGGAAGCAGGCTAAGGGCTAGTGCTCTGGAAGCACTAGGGCCAGCTGCAGGGTTTCTCAGCCTCTGCACTACTGACACCTGGGGCTGGATAATTCTCTGTCGTGGGGTCTGTCCTGTGCGTTGTAGAATGTTCAGCAGCATCCCTGGCCTCTATCCGCTAGATTCCGGTAGCATCTGTCTCCCAAGTTTTAACAACCAAAAACGTCTCCAGACATTGCTGAATGTCCCTTGAGGAACAAAATCACACCTAGTCAGGAACCACCGAGCTGGGGTGGTTTAAATTCCTTGTTTGGTTGTTTGTTCTCTCGGCTTCTGCATTAGACAGAATGAGGTAAGCAGCACTTACCAGTGCTACTCATAGTGGCTTAACCAAGTAAACTCTTTTCTACTTTCACTTAAAAGAAACCCAGAGACAGGCCTTCTAGCTCGTGCATCATCACATTTCTGCATTATTACCAGGAACTCAGAATCTCTTTTCCTCCTTTGTGTACATGGTTGTCTCATGGTCTTAAAATGGTTGTCCCACATCATATATCACATCTGCCTTCTAGACAGAAAGAAGGAGGAAGGCATGTGCCAACTGAGATGGCCCCACCTTTTAAGGAGCTTTCCTATAAGCCCTACTTGGCAATTTCTGCTTACATCTCATTGGCCTGTGTCATGTGGCCATCTCTAGCTGCAAGAGAGTCTGGGAAACGTAATCTTTTGAGCTGGGCACATTGCCATCCTGGATGAAATGAGGGTTCTATAGAGAAGAAAAAGAGGAGAATGGCTTTGAGAGGTCAATTGTCAGTCTCTGCCATTGCTCCTCACCTTGGTTTCTAGGTACAGTGACAAGCTCAGTGGTCTCTCACCAGGAATCTTCCAGAAGGAGCCAGGCAAACCTCCTGGGCAGCAATGGAATTAGTCTGTGCCAATTTCCCTAGTGAATTCCTCTAAGACGAGGCTCCTCGTCTCTGCTTGCTGGTGGATTCTGTAACCCAGGATCAAGTTTTTAGCCTATCTTCCCGGAAGTAGATTAACTGAAATCACATAGGAAGCAGTTGAAAAATAAGATTTTAGGAGGAATGTGCCTCTGTTCCCTTCCCGGCCCCGGCTCCCATTCCCCTGGCACCCACACGAGGCCAGCGCAGCAGCTGGTCATCCACGCGGCAGGAAGTACACTAACTATCTCCTCTCCACACTTGCTGCAGAGCCTAAAACGCCACCCTTAGCCACCATTCCTTCGGTCAGGCCTGGCTCTCCCCAGGGCCTCTTAAAATGCCAGTCCCGTCTGACAGAGACGAAAGAGGATGAAATCTCGGCCACCTTAGTGTTGGTCTCAGCTCACCAGCCCTTTTCCCCCTTGCGGTTCCTGGGCAGCTTTGGGGCACCGAACCCCGTGAGGGGGAAGGAGGCCAGGGCGGCGGAGGAAGACGGCCTCTGTCCCGAAAAGCGGGGGGCGCCCAGCTGGCGCAGCTCCTTCCCTGTAAAGCCGCAGCCACAACGGGGGCACCAGCCACAACGGGGGCACTGGCTGGAGGTATCAATAAACACTGCCGGTAAGTCTGGGCCCAGCAGATGGCAACCCCGTGACCTTTGAGTTGCCTTTGCTGCCCTTTCTCTCCCCACCCACACTTCTCGACCTGCAGACTGAAAATCTGGCTTTCCTGTAACTTGCTCTGACGCTGCCTCAGGGAATGACACTGCTAGTAAGAGGTCAACAGCGAGGATGGCAGGTGGGGACACAAAGATTCCCCAGGAACCCTCGCGTCCAAGTGACAGGTAACGATGATGCGGCCTGCACCCCTTTCTTGCTGCTCGGAGCCTTCCCCCGGCCCGGGCTCTCCAGGGAGACCTCGGTGACCTAGGTCAGAGTTACAAAGTGGCAGGCCTCTGCAGTGCCACCCTCAGACCCGGGCAAAAGGGGACCCTGCTCTGGACTCCCCACATTGCAGGGACTGGCCGTGGACCTCCTCCTACTATACACCTTCCCGTGGGGCACGAAGTGCTTAGGACCCAGGGGACATGCCTACCCAGAGCCCTCTGTCCCCTGTTAGACTGTGGTCCACATACCCAGGACACCAGAATCCCCTGCCTGAGTGGCCCTGAGCCGGCTTCCAGGAGCTGTAGCCCTCTTCCCCCGATACTTGCTCTCCCGGGTAGAGCAGACCTCGTATGTGCACCCCTGGACCTGAGGGGTGGCCGAGGATGGCTGTCCGTGGTGGAGGGACATGCAGGGAACCCTGTCTTGTAGGTGGTATGTCCACCAACATAACATAAGGCCGCTGAGGAGGAGCCAGGAGAGGGAAAAGAAGAGGACAGGCCGAGGTCTGGGGACTGTTTCTCCCTGTGCCACCTTGTGCTAATACCAAGTTCTGAAGGGTCTAAGAATTCTAACTTCAAACCTTGCCTTCCTGGTTGTTATGAAGATGTATTTGTTAAGGTAGGAGTAAAGAACATATATTTTTTAACATATTTAACATATTTTATTTTGTTGTTACTGCCGTTGAGTGGATTCCGACTCCTAGTGACCCTGTGTACAGCAGAGTAAAACCCAGCCATGTCTTTTTATGCCATCTTCCCACCTTCCGGCGCTACATCAGACAATGTTCCACTGCTGTTCATAGGATTTTCATGGAAATTTTTTCAGAAGCGGGCAGCCAGGTCCTTCTTCCTAGTCTGTTCTAGTCTGGAAGCTCTGCTGAAACCTGTCCATTATGGGTGACCCTGCTGGTATTTGAAATACCAGCAGCATGGCTTTCAGCATCACAGCAACACACAGCCACCACAGTATCACAACCGACAGACGGGTGGTAAGGTTCCCTGCCCGGGAAACGAACCCGGAGCAGGGCAGTGAAAGCATCAAATCTTACCTCATTTCTAGAGGTACGTGAGTCTCAATACACAAGAGTTAATGGCCATGGAAGGCACTGATGGTCTTATCTGCCTGGTTAATGGCCCCTCTCATCCTGGGAACTGCCCCTCCTCCACCCCTAGTATGGACCCCTTGGCAGCTGTCCCCTTGACTCCATGGTTACAGTCAATGAGTCCAGTATGGGCATCTGGGAGTTTGTATTTATTTATTTGTTTGTTTCTTGTGAAGAAGATTGGCCCTGAGCTAACATCCGTTGCCAATCTTCCTCTTTTTGGTTGAGGAAGGTGGTCCCAGAGCTAGCACATTTGCCAATCTTCCTCTTCTTTGTACGTGAGACGCTGCAGCACCATGGCTTGATGAGTGGTGCATAGGTCCACGCACGGGATCTGAACCCACAAACCCCAGGCCACCAAGGCAGAGAGCACAAACTTAACCACTATGCCACCGGGACAGGCCCTAGGAGTTTCTATTTAGAACAGAACATCAGGGCAGCCTCTCTCAGGCAGCTGAAGCCGTGAAGAGGTGAAAGTCCAGCGTGGAGAAAACCAGTCTTCAGAAAGAGACAAAAGGAAAGCAGACATGCAGGGTGCAATGGACTAGTTGTGTGTCCCCCCCAAATTCATATGTTGAAATTCAACCTGTAGGTAACAGTGCTGGGAGGTGGGCCTTTGGGAGGCGACGGGGTCCTAAGGGTGGAGCCCTCATGAATGGGATCAGTGCCCTGATGACAGAGACCTCAGAGAGCTCCCTCGCCCCTCCACCACGTGAGGACACAGCGAGAAGACCCGTCTGTGCACCAGGAAGGGGGCCTCACCAGACACCGAATCAGCCGGCTCCTAGACGGTGGACCTCCCAGCCTCCGGAACTGTGGAAATAAGTTTCTGTCGATTATAGGGTATTTTCATCACAGTAGCCTAAACGACTGAGACACGGGGAGAATCGGAGAAGGGAAGAGTCCTGAGCAGGTCCAGTCCTTGGTTCTGGCAGTTTCCGAGGCTTCAGCCACACTCTGCCTTTCTGCCACTGGACTGGTCACCTTCTCCCTGAAGGCCGTGAGCACCCCCAGTCTTCTCGAAACACATTCTCCTTGAGCTGCAGCTGGTTTGGGTTGGGCATCTGTCATTTGCAATCAATGCAACAGTGAAAAGAAAAGATTATTGAAAAAACTAGGGTGCACTCAGCACTCTTGGTTTCCCCAATTCAGATACCAGGAAGCACTTTCAAGACCGTTCAGAGCTCAGGGCGGCTGATGGCACCAACGGCAGGGATTTCACACACCTGTTGACTTGGGAGAACTTAAAAGGGATCCATAAATACTGGGGTTTCATTCTGGACGTGTTTGTTTCTTTCTAGTTATTCTATTTATTTACAGAATTAAGGAGAACCTGAGCCAGTGTCCTGCTCTGCAGCCTGGAGGGGGCGTGATGGCAGAGAGCGAAAGACAAGACGATGAATTCGGGACGCGTTAGTTTCCATAAAATTTGATTTTGGAATTTCCATGGGAATTCACACTCTGAACTGAAAGCAGCGTCTCTGGCCCGTTGACCTTGCAGGGGCTGAGGGAGCTGTAGGAAGGGGAGGGAGGCCGAATAAATGGGGAAGGAGAGAGGAACAGGGGGCACGAGGGATAAGAACACAGGGCACTTTTCCTTTACAACTTGGCTTCTCTCTGCAAGATTCATGGGCTGAAGCTGTTCCTCTCCCTGCAGAGGGCATTGTCCTGACTCCTCCCTCTGCCCCCTCCCCATCCAATCCAGTCCAGCACCACCGCTCCCCTGCCCCTCCTCCCCACCCTCCTGCACTGCCCCTGTACACCTCTAAAACTCCATTCTCCCTAGGGGACCACAACGGCCTCCTAAGAAGTCTCTCTGTCCCCATGCTCGCGCCTAACACCAACCGAGTCCTCCACGAAGCAGCCAGAGTAACCTCTCCAAGTGACAAACCTGACAATGTCCCTCATCTGCTTAAAACCCCTCAGTGGCTCCCCTTTGCTCTTAGGATGAAGTACAAAACCCTCAATTATGCCTGCACCTCCAGCTGTTGCCTCTCTCCCCCACCTCCCCCTCCCCCTCCCTCTGCTCCTGCCACACCGACTTTGCTCAACTCCCTAAAGGGCTGTGCTCCCTCCTGGCTCAGGGCCTTTGCACGAACTGCTCTCTCTGCCCGGAATGCCCTTCCCCTCTCCTTCACCCAGTTAGTTCCCACTCTTTCTTAACATCTAGCTCATTCTTCCTTCTTTACAAGTTCTTACAAATAACCCTCATAGCACTTGTCACACTTCAACTGACACCTGTGTGAGCGTTTGACAGTTGTCCTCCCAACTAGACCGCAAGCTCCGTGAAGGCAGGGAGGGACCATGTCTGTTTCGCTCACCACCGGACTCCCAACAGCATCCACAGGGCCTGGCTGAGTCTTACCTCCCCCTCCAGGTCCAGTTCAAGCATCTCTGAGAAGCCCTCTTGGGCCCCCTGCCTAGTCAGTCCTGAACCAGAATAGACCTCCACCACGCGTTTATTGTGCCACTCAGCAATGATTTGTCACATATGTGTCTCACCCCTAGTGTGTGGATTCCTGGAGAGCGAGAACCACTGGCTTTGTTGTGTCTGTTTCCCCGACACCCAGCACAGTGCTTGGCCTACAGGGGACGACTGTGTGAATAGATGAATGACGTTAAGACAGCTCCCTGGCCCAGGTGTTATATCCCGTAAGCCGAGGGGCTGAACCACAGGACTGTCTGTCCCCTCTCTCACACTCCGGTTCCAGCATCACAGAGCCCTGCCCGTCTCAGCGCCTCTCTGCTGTGTCACCTGTGTGCCTGAACTGTGGCCCTGGCAATCAGCAAACCTCCTGGCACCACAGTTCCTCTAGTTCACTATGCAAAGAGAGCCTCACACCTCTGGGCTTTCTATAGATTATGCAAAAAGAGGCCATTTTAATACCTCCTTCCTCTTTGACTCATGTTTTTAGTTAGGTCTTTCTCATGCCTATGGAGCAACTTCGTTGGTTTCTAATTATTAAGAAGTAATTAAAACATATAAAAAGGTATGAAGAACAACCTAGTGGACCCCATGAACACACCCAAGTACGGAGAGCTGAGGACGTAAAATGTGACCCAAGTAGGTGGCCTTTTCTTCAGAGCAGAACTAACACCATCTGAGGCCTCGCTGGATACAGCCGTGTACTGCCAGGGAACTGAGAATCGATTTCCACCACTGCGTCCAGGACAGAGCCTGCGTCTCCGTGTCCAGGCAGGGGGCTCTGATCCGTACTCTCTCTTAAGGAGAGCGAGGCTCCACCCATAGCAGACCCGGACCACCTTGCCTTCAAGACAGACTCCGAGACTCTCTGAACTGAGAGGACCCTGGTGGGGAAGGAATCCAGAACCCCACTCAGCACAGGAATGCCCTCCCCACCGTCCTGCCCCATGGGTTCCCTGAGATGTGGCTGTGGGGTCCAAACCCCACAGGGGAGGCACCTCAGAGAAGACAAAGGCAGACCCAAGAGACAAAGGAGACACGAGCATTCAGAACAAGCTGGACGTGTTTTCACTCCTGTTGAGGCCCTCTGCAGGTGGGACTCATCTAGAACTGCATCCCAGAAGTCCATGCAATCATTCCCTCATGTCCCTTCTGTGGGCCAGACCTCGAGCTAGGGGCTGGGGTTTGAATATGAATAGGACATGATTCACAACCTCGAGGAACTCACGGTAAGTGGATGGCTTAAAGAAGTAAATAAACATTTGTGATGTAGTGTGACAGAAGCTACTATAAAGGTGTATGTGCGAGGTGTGAATGAAGCCTCTGAATCACCCCCAGGGCATCAAGGAAGGCTCCCTGGAGGAGGTGATGCTTGTCCTGCATTGTGAAGGATGGCACCTGCAAGGCCTGATGTGTTCATAACGCTGTGGGGAGCTGCAGGTGCTTCCAGCTGCCCGGGGTGAAAGGTGGGAGTGGGCAGCGGTGGGAGAGGTGGCCAGAGAGACATCACAAAGGCCTTGTGTGCTAAGCTGAGGAGTGTGAACCTTCTGCAAGCTCAGGGCGGCCACTGGAGGACTGAAGGCAGGGGAGAGGCCTGAAGAGAACTGGACAGCCCTGTGAAGCGGCGTGGTGGTGAACTGGAGGAGTGAGAGCAATGAGCAGGACGTCTCAGGATCAAGGTGAGAAGCCATGAGAGTCTGAACTGAGGTGGTGTCCCAGGGAAAGGAGAGGAGGGAAGATGGTAGGAGATAGGCATCCAGCGGAAACTGAGAGTGAGGGAAGGGAGGATTCTGGGTACTTCCCGATGTTTGGCTTTGGCTGACTGGGAGCTGGCAGTGCTACCATCAACAGAGAGGATTCCAGAGAAGACCTTGGCATGGTCTTTGGGTGATGGGACAGAAGGTGAGCCCTAAGTAGAAGGGATAAGACCTTCAGAGAATCTCAAGAGTGAACGTCACTAGAAGAAAGACGGTCAGAGAAGGGTCAAGCAAGACCAAGGTGTGGGTAATAGGGCCTCTGACCACACCCGCAATTTTCTGATGTGACACCATAGCACAACTTTGGAGGATACAGCATCCCTGAGGTTCCAGGGTTGGAGACTTGGGTGCCCATTTTAGCACCAACATTATAAAATCCACGATGGAATTGACCACACCCCTAGGCATCACCTGTGGACCTCCTCGATGAAGCAAGTCCATCTCCATTCAATTTGATTCTATTTTTAAATTTTAGAGTTTTTTTTTTTTTTGAAAACCAAAGTTATACATAGTTTAAAAAATCAAATAGTCATGTATCAAAAATATCAGTTTCTGCTGCTGGCCTGGCAGCATACTGTTTAAGTTTGCATGCTCTGTTTTGTCAGCCGGGGGTTTGTGGGTTCAGATCCTGGGCACGGACCTACACACCACTCATCAAGCCATGCTGTGGAAGTGTCCCACATACAAAATAGAGGAAGGTTGGCACAGATGTTAGCTCAGGGACAATCTTCCTCAAGAAAAAGAGGAGGATTGGCAATGGATGTTAGCTCAGGGCCAATCTTCCTCACCAAAAAAAAAAATCAGTTTCTTACCCCTTTCCTGCTCCCTTGAGGCAATTACTTTCAGGTCTTATTAGATGATTCTTTTGGTATTTACCTCCATAGCTCTAAATAAGATGGGGATATTGATACTTCCTGATTTTGTCCATGTCAGGAATCATCTATTGACTTTCCAATATGGCAGACAAAGGTTTAGCTCTGTTAACCCACCCTGATCAACACCACATGCATGTGCCCACTTCCCATTCCCCCATCCTCCCAATAGAGTTATATCATATTGGGTTATATCAACTTTCAGTGTTCACATTATTATGATTGTGTTCATGCTCTTCACAACCGAGTCACTCAAGGTAACCATGATTTTTCTCTTTCCCCCACTGCTTTTTATATTCCACCAGAGTTAATAATGACATCCTCCCACACCCTATTTATTTAGTTATACTTTGTGGTACTCGTCACTGGTCCAACCCCTAATTCTCCTCCAGTCATTTAAACCCCCTCTCAATATTTCCAAACACAGTTCTATCAGTGTCGTCTTCTTGAGTAAATCTTTCCTGGAGTCTTTTGAGCAGCTTCCATCTGAACAGGCTGCTTTCTATGCCTGGCACATAGCTGTGCACCTGGGATTTTCCTTTACCATGATCTTGGTATTTCCCATCGCCTGTCTCTTGTTTCGCCCCTTGTTTTGGTGGAGCACATCCTTGAGCAGCTTTCTGGGAGAGAGGATAAGGCAGTACCTTTTTTTTTGAAAGTTTGCATGTCACGTCTGAAAATATTTGCTTCTCTTCTCATACTTCTTTCTTTGGTAGTTTGGGAATAGAATTCTAGGCGGGGAATGATAGTCCTTCAGAAAGCATTTTTCCACTGACTTCCAGTTTTCAGACTTGATGATAACTCTGACGACATTCTGTTCCTGTTTTTTTGGAAAACATTTAATGAAATCTGTTTTTATGTTTGAAAGCCTGTGGATGTCTTCTTTGTCTCAGTTTTCTGAAATTTCATGGCAGTGTGTAATTTAACTCAATTCTCCCGACAGGTGTTGAGAGATGTGCTGTATAGCTTCTCTCACTAGACGCTCCAGTGTATACAAAGATACACACAGGTCCTTAGGGGCTGGAAATATGTGGGAAGTGTGGGAGATAAGGCAAACAGGATATTGGTGACTAAGCAGTATTATACACATAAATTACACATATAAGATTTGTAAGGGCAACATTTTCACAAATTCCATGTGTCAGTATTTTTTAAGAAAGACTAATCCAGGGTCTCAACCTGATTCATCACATTAGCAATTTAGCCTTCTCATGCACTCAGCGAACTTCATGCCTCCCACACTCCAGCCTCTGGTGAGGGGGTGGTAAGCTATCAATAAGGGTGTGATGTTTTGACTTCCCAGTTCTGCTCTTACTGCTGGAGTTGCTCTTAGCCTCTAGGGGGCAGACTCGGCTACCATTCTGCAGAGAGCCAGCACAGCTTGAATCCAACGCCACAGGGTCCCTCAAGCTCCTTGCGGAGTCAGTTGTGATAGAAGCAGGCACCAGGGCCCCTTTTCAGGAAGCAATCCCTAAAATGCATTTGTCCTTCCCTTTCAAGGTGTATCTATAGGTACCTATAGATAGAACATATCACTAAACAGATATAACACATAATAAGCTGCTCGATAAATGTTTTCTCAATGGTTGAATACAGAATATTTCTCTCCACGTAATATCTGCCC